GTTGACTTCCGAGCCCACCGTACGGTGCCATGTTTGATCCAACCCCCAGGTAATGGACTTATTTAAAAGCCCTCCCATTACCGTGTTAGATTCCTGGAGCCAGTAAACAGTCTCTTGTTTTACGCAGAGGCTAGTGGCTAGGCGGGGTTGGGGAGGTTGGCCTCCTTTCCCCCGCCCGCCCTTAACCAGAGCGAGAGGCCACAGCTTCTTCTGTACCACTGCGATGCCGGAGGTCTCAAAATGGACCCCGAGAATTTTCAGGGCCCCGTTACAGAGAGAGAACCCCCCGGGCACATCCATCCTACCACACCATCTTCTGAAGAACTTAACGGCAGACTTTGCGTGGTTAAGACCCGCTCCTGGCACTCGGGTGAAATCTCCAATAATGACAAGGGACGTGGTCAGGCACTTGCAAAGCAGCAAGGAAGTGTCGTCGGCATACTGCATCAACTTAACATACAGCCCACCACTTTCAGGGATCAACAAGCCCTCCACCCCTGTGTCCGCCCTAATGGCAGCCCCCAGAGGCTCTATGTACAGAACCAAGAGGAGGGCCGAGAGCGGGCACCCCTGCCTTATTCCAGACGAGAGGTCAAAAAAGTCACCCATGTGACCGTTTACGCTAACCCGGCACCCCGCTCCAACATATAAAGTATGGATCCACCCTATAAACTTCTTCCCAAATCCTAAACTACCTAACACCCTGAAAATAAAATATCTATTCACGCGATCAAAGACTTTTGCCTGATCAAGCGCTGCTACCATTAAAGGCAGCCCTCTATCCCCTACCCAAGCGATGGAGTCCCTAATCAACTGCAGGTTCCACCTAATAGAGCAGCCCTCTACCCCACACGTCTGAACCTCGTGGACAACGTAGGGAAGGGCTGTGCGCAACCGGTCTGCTAGGACCTTCGCAAGCAGCTTGTAGTCTACGCACAGCATGGTCAATGGCCGCCTATTGCCAAGGTCTGTGGCATCCCCCTTCTTGTAAAGAAGTGACAGCACACCTACGGCCATCGATCCCCCCGGGACCCCCGTCTCGAAGATGGCCTTCAAGACTTTGAGAACTACCGGTCCAAGTATCCCCCAAAACTTGAGGTAAAACTAAGCCGGCAGCCCATCCATCCCGGGCACCTTCTCTTTTCCCATCCTCCTGAGGGCTCTCTCAACCTCTTCGAGGGAGTTCTGATCCTCTATCACTTCTCTAATATCCTACGGCAATTGCAGGGACAGGTGTTCTAAAAACATGTTTCCCTGCTCTACATCTACTGCCCTTTCCTGAAAGAAAACCTGAAAATGGTCAGTGGTCACCCTGACCATTTCCTCCGTCTCTCTCACTACTCTACCGCTTTCTTCCCTACCCCCCTTACATTACCTTCCTACTCTGTCTTCCCCTTACTGATTTAAAGAACACGGCCGAACATGTTTCGTTGTGTTCTATAAAACCACTATGCGCACGCATCAGGAAAGCGTGAGCCTTCCGCTCATGCACCTCCCTTAGCTGCGCCTTTAGGGCAGTGGATCTCTCCCAGTCTACCGACCCGCCGAGGTTGCCTGCCTCAAGCTCGAGTTCTAGCAGCCTCTGGATATGATCCACCTCCCTCCTTTCCTCCCTCTTTTTCTTCTTCCACTGTCCTATTATAAAACCCCTCATCCTCACCTTTACTATTTCCCACCACTCTAACACCCCCTCACACATAGACCGGAGGCCCTCAAGCCCCCTAAAAAAATCAACAAAAGCATTGACGAAAGCCTGCCCATCCAGCACCTCCCGTTCTAACTTCCAGTACCCCCTACCGAAGAGGCAGACTGGTGCCCCCAACTGCAGAAGCACCCCGTCGTCGTCCGAAAAGAACACAGGCAAAAAGCGCCCAGAAAACTGACCCAGAGACCTAGATAAGAAAATATAGTTGAGCCTCCGCTCGACCCCCCCCTAGAGTTGCGCCATGTTGGCCATGCCATCGTCGGAACAGTGTGCAGGCCCCCATCCACCAGACCATGGCATGCCATTAGTCTGGCAATGGCTCCTGCACTACTATCTCTCCCCCTCCCTATATCTATATTGATATCCTCCCCTATCACCAAGTGTCTATTTGTAGCACACAGCGGCGCCAAGCAGTCCACCATCTCCCTCCTGCCCCCACCGCCAACTGTGGCCCATACACCACAATAACTCTGTACCTGCTCTCTCTTATCGTGACATCCGCTCCCAGTACTCTACCCTGCATAACCACAAATGTGCCCTCCACCTTCACCTCCCTATTTCCACCCCCGATGAATGAACCCCCCCATGCCCCAAACTGACTCACCCTTGTCCCACTCCCTCTTAAACCTTAAAACATCCCCACTATCCCTTAGGTTAACCTCCTGTATAAAACAAACATCAAAACCCACCTCCTCTAAATACCCGAAAACCGCCCTTCTCTTAACATCCTCCCTTATTCCCCTCACATTTACAGTAACAAAAATAGCCCCTGCCATAATACATTACACCCATCACAAATGTCTTACCCCAAAACACAAAAACAAAACAGGAGGCTAACCTGATGCTCCCCTGCTCCATCTCCTCCTGTGGGGACTCCGACTCCCCCTCAGATGCCCCCCCACTCCCCTCCATCTCCCCCACCCAGGATGCGGGAATGGTGTTTGGTTCCTGGGTTCCCTGCATCCTGGGCTCCCCACCATCCTCTTCCAACCTCCCCAAACCGAAACCGGTTGGGAAAAGTGCAGGGAATCCAGAGCCCTCCGCCCCCTGTGGTTTGAGGGGGGGGGCAACGAGGTCACAGGAGATTCTTCCCCCGCACTGCCTTTCTCCCCCATGACCCTCTTGGCCACCCCCTCACCACCCTTTTCCCTCTTCCTGTCATTGGATCACCCCCTCCTCTTCCCTCTCTTCATCGGCGAAACAGGCAGTGGGGAGAGGAGGGGGAGGAGCCAGCCCCCCCTGACCCCCAAAAACTCCCCCATCTCGTCCCCCCGGGCCCTCGGCATCTCACTGTCCCCCCACTCCGGCCTCATCTCTCCCCCCTTCTCCTCTCCTACTGGGGCCGTGGCTGGCTCCTCCCCGTCCTCCTCTCCCTCCGTCTCCTTCCGATCCGGCACCTCCTCTCCCACTCTCCCCTCCGTCTCTGTCCCCGGTCCCACCTCTCCTTCCGGCCCTTTTCCGGCCGTCCTCTGCCAGTCCTCCTCTCTTCCCGCTGCTTTTCCCGGCTCCTCCTCCGTTGCAGCTGGGCTTCCCTCTGGCCCTTTGCTCGGGTCTGGAACTCCCTCTCCTCTTCCTCCTCCTTTCCCCGATCCTGCACCTGCTCCCCCCCTGCAGCCGCTGCATACGACTTGTGGCAAGCCATGCAGTCCCTCCATACGTGTGCAGACGATCCACGCCCGTGGCATTTCTTCGACTCGTCACAGTCTTTTGCCTCATGCGCCCCTGACCCACACACCCTGCATTTCCTCCCTCCACATGAGGCGAAATTATGACCATATTTCATGCAGCGCCTGCAGAATGGAGGCTGACGGGCATAAAATAATGGCCCCCTATCAGCCCCCAGGGAGAACAGCACTGGAGGATGAAGGTACCCCCCCAGGCCCCCTGGGTCTTCCTTCAATAAGGCCAGGAAACTCCTCCTCCCATTCCAGAACCCTAACGTGTCCTTGAGGAGCCTTGCTGAGGAGACATTGTCCATGTATCTCCCCAGAAAGGCCCTCACCTCCTCTTCCTTCACATGCAGATTATACATGTTGACAGTCACCACCCTGAAGCTGTTCCTCGCCAGGCTTGCCACTCATAGTGGCACATCGGTCTAGCATTTCGATCTCCTTTACCCTTCCCATAACCTCGTCATGCTTCGGCTCTGTGTGCAACACCACATCATAGGCCCCTTCTAGGGGATTCACCTGGAGGCACAGCACGTCTTTTACCGCCAGCTTCAGGACCCCCATCAGTATGGTCCTCCCGAAAGTCTCCCTTCCAAAGGGCTCCATCTCCTTCTCCCTCCATGCGAACCTTATCGCATTTGTGATCCCCATCCTGGGAATCGCCCTGTACCCTTTTGGGTCCGCCATCTCCGCAAAGAGATTAGCGCTCGCACCTCTGCTCCGACTCTCTTTATTGAATTTGGCACTTTTAACAAAAAATGTTGCTTGTTTTTTGCTGTCTTGCTTCCTTCTTTGACAGTCGGAGTATAGCCTCGAAATGCCTATGTGAAGTTTATAAAGCCAGCCGTGGCGTCTGCTGATTGGACACCATCTCCCCACCACCCTGATTGGGCCGTTGCGGAGGCCTCCTCCGTCGGCCATTGGACGGGAGGCCTGGCCTCTCCGTGCCACCCCAAAATTCACACTGCCAGCCCTTTATGTGCAATAATAGTCGCCAAAGTCAAGAGTAAAATCTTATATCCATGTTCTAATCTAATGCTAGCCTACTATGGCAAACGAGGCCTAGTAGGTGTTATTACTCACGTAAGGCCTCATGTGGGTTAATGAATGATGTGTAATGGACACTGTCCAATAGCAATATCTACAATGGGCATTTATTTATGCTGTAACACGCTCTTACAAAGCTTAAAAGCCACATTTTCAAGATTATTGAACTCGGGCTGGCCAACAAATGATAGTGGATCCTCTCCCTTACTCATTGGTGTTGATTTCAGCATGTCCATTTGGCTGATAATAAATGCCCATTGAAACATATTCCAAATGTACTTGTACATTTGCAATATGAAATACAACCAAAATGCCAGTATAACATATTGGCATTGGCAATGTTTCATATTGGCATTGGCATGTTACAGCATGTCCAATTGGTGATAATAAATGCCCATTGAAATGTATTGCAAATGGACTTGTATGTTTGCCATATGAAACATTGCCATATGAAATACATACTGGCATTGGTAAACATACAAGTCCATTATAACGACACTCGGCTTTTGGATTCTGTTAAAGCTGTCGCACCCTTGTGGCTCAGCTGACTTCCATGCAGGCCCACATTGACCTTGTGACCTCTGGAGCTCCATGCCTCTATTTCTACACTCCCTGCCTAGTAACAGACATCTCCCATGGGCCTGAGAGTACAGCTCACTCCCTGGACCTTCAGAGGTGCAGCAGGCTAGAAGAAAGGGGGGAGAGTGTGTCCTGCCTCCACAGGGGCTGCCTGCTCTGCCCCCCTGTAGGACAGCTTCACTCACACACACACACAGACAGACCTATTAACTTGGGCCTTCTCCCTTGTGGCCCTGCTGACTTCCATGTAAAGTAGTGTTAATGTGTTATTGCATTCTTATTTTTAAATGAACCAAACTAAGTTAAGGAACACAAAATAATAGAGTGGATATAGGTGCTAAATGAAGCTACCAAGTTGAAAAAACACCATTATTTCAGGACATAAACCTCTGAAAACACTAAGTCAAACCAACAATAAACCTAGTTGACAGCTGCATTGTGTTCACACTGAGAAGGTTTTGAAATGAACTATTTCCTAAGTAATTTCTCTCTGATAAATAACAGAGAGAAATTAATTAAGATTATTTATTTTAACCAACATTCACAGACAATAAAGACAAGACAGTGCAGGTTGAATATAATATAAGTGACACAGAGCAAATCCAAACCTTTAAAAAAGCACAACAACACAATGAATTACTCAAAACATTTTTTATTAAACAGAGCAAACCTTGGAACATTATAAAGCATCACACCAACATTTAAAATAGATTAGACAGTTTGAATAAATTACACACATTTTATGATCTGAACAAGCACACTAAAATAGAAAACCACACAACACAAAAATAAGAACAGTGTAAATGTGAGAGAGTCTTTAAGAGGTGCTGCTGTTTCCTTCCTCCCCTTGTTGAGTCTTGAAGTGGGTCGGCTCCCCTTCCTTCTGGCTGCCAGAGGGCTCCCCTCTTTCCTTGTGCACCTTCTCATCCATCTTCCTCCTCCTTGAGGCAATGGCTTCTTTGAGTCGGTCTTTATTAGAATTCACCTGCTGCATACCTTGCATCGTGACAATGGGGGAGGTGAGGGGCGACTTGCTCTTCAATTTGATGGGTGAGACTAGCAGGGGGCTGACGGCGACCACCATGCGGCGCCTGCGGATCAGCTGCTTCTTGCTCGGGGTATGGTACTGCTCCAGCTCAGGCATGGTCAACTTGGAGGGTGTCTGCAGGCACAGCAAACACAGAAGAGAACATATATATATATATATACAGTGGGGAGAACAAGTATTTGATACACTGCCGATTTTGCAGGTTTTCCTACTTACAAAGCATGTAGAGGTCTGTATTTTTATCATAGGTACACTTCAACTGTGAGAGACGGAATCTAAAACAAAAATCCAGAAAATCACATTGTATGATTTTTAAGTAATTAATTTGCATTTTATTGCATGACATAAGTATTTGATCACCTACCAACCAGTAAGAATTCCGGCTCTCACAGACCTGTTAGTTTTTCTTTAAGAAGCCCTCCTGTTCTCCACTCATTACCTGTATTAACTGCACCTGTTTGAACTCGTTACCTGTATAAAAGACACCTGTCCACACACTCAATCAAACAGACTCCAACCTCTCCACAATGGCCAAGACCAGAGAGCTGTGTAAGGACATCAGGGATAAAATTGTAGACCTGCACAAGGCTGGGATGGGCTACAGGACAATAGGCAAGCAGCTTGGTGAGAAGGCAACAACTGTTGGCACAACTATTAGAAAATGGAAGAAGTTCAAGATGACGGTCAATCACCCTCGGTCTGGGGCTCCATGCAAGATCTCACCTCGTGGGGCATCAATGACCATGAGGAAGGTGAGGGATCAGCCCAGATCTACACGGCAGGACCTGGTCAATGACCTGAAGAGAGCTGGGACCACAGTCTCAAAGAAAACCATTAGTAACACACTACGCCGTCATGGATTAAAATCCTGCAGCACACGCAAGGTTCCCCTGCTCAAGCCAGCGCATGTCCAGGCCCGTCTGAAGTTTGCCAATGACCATCTGGATGATCCAGAGGAGGAATGGGAGAAGGTCGTGTGGTCTGATGAGACAAAAAAATAGCTTTTTGGTCTAAACTCCACTCGCTGTGTTTTGGAGGAAGAAGAAGGATGAGTACAACCCCAAGAACACCCATCCCAACCGTGAAGCATGGAGTTGGAAACATCATTCTTTGGGGATGCTTTTCTGCAAAGGGGACAGGACGACTGCACCGTATTGAGGGGAGGATGGATGGGGCCATGTATCGCGAGATCTTGGCCAACAACCTCCTTCCCTCAGTAAGAGCATTGAAGATGGGTCGTAGCTGGCTCTTCCAGCATGACAACGACCCGAAACACACAGCCAGGGCAACTAAGGAGTGGCTCCGTAAGAAGCATCTCAAGGTCCTGGAGTGGCCTAGCCAGTCTCCAGACCTGAACCCAATAGAAAATATTTGGAGGAAGCTGAAAGTCCGTATTGCCCCGTCGACAGCCCCGAAACCTGAAGGATCTGGAGAAGGTCTGTATGGAGGAGTGGGCCAAAATCCCTGCTGCAGTGTGTGCAAACCTGGTCAAGACCTACAGGAAACATATGATCTCTGTAATTGCAAACAAAGGTTTCTGTACCAAATATTAAGTTCTGCTTTTCTGATGTATCAAATACTTATGTCATGCAATAAAATGCAAATTAATTACTTAAAAATCATACAATGTGATTTTCTGGATTTTTGTTTTAGATTCCGTCTCTCACAGTTGAAGTGTACCTATGATAAAAAATTACAGACCTCTACATGCTTTGTAAGTAGGAAAACCTGCAAAATCGGCAGTGTATCAAATACTTGTTCTCCCCACTGTATGTATATATGTATATATATATATATATATATATATATATATATATATACAAAAATGCACGTTTGACTGTTACATGGTGTACAAGCACATTTTGGTAATGTAATGTGTGGTGTCGGAATAGCTGACCTTACCACAGGTTGTCTGGCCGTCTGTTCCTCATCCTTGACCTCTTCCTCCTCCGAGTCCCTGGAGGACGTGCCAGACTCCTGGTACATCACCTTGGTCTCTTCGGGGGTGGTGCTCCCCTCGGAGAGGGAGTCCTCCTCTCTCGCCTTCCGCTTATTTTTTGAAGAGGCCTGGTTCTCGGCGGCGACAGAGGTATCTTCTCCCTTTAATGCTGCCTGGAAGAGTGCCCTGGTTTCACTGGCTTGGGCCGGATTTAAATTGATGGCATAAATTTGTCTGCCGTCTGGATGTCGTGGCACATGAAGTTGGCCACCCTTTCCCTGTCAGCCTTCGGGAGCATGTTTTTGACCTGTAAGACACAAGCAAAAAAGACCCACACACACACAAAAAATAAAATAATGTATTGATATTATTTCAGACAACAGTGGAATAGGATCTTACAATACTTCTATTCATATCTAATCTGACTTACATGAGTGACAATGGAGGTCCGCAGGTCAGTGAAGGAAGGAGTTTCAGGCAGACCCATCTCCTTCCACACCTCCCTCAGGTAGGCAGGCAGGTTCTTCAGCTGAGTGTTTGTGGAATTGAAAAATAAGTGCTGGGACTTCTTTCCCCCTGGGAGGCAGTGTTTGAATTTGAGGAAGTCTGTAAACCAAGTGTACTCATCCTTTGTCAGCGACATCTGGACCATGCCATGGTCTCTATTCGTTTTGTGTTCCCCTATTAGAAATTGAACAGAATAAACACACACAAAAACACACAAATGACGCAGGCGACTGCAATTGTTTCCAAAAACAACCAACCAACCAACAAAACCAACAAATAAACACATTCAGGTGTACATTTATAGACTTACACCTGATGAGATACATCCCAGACTGGTCACATTTTGCCTCCTTCACCAACATGTTCTTATACAGGCCCGGTCTATGGCCGTATATGGAGGTAAAATAGACACACAGGTATCCATAAAACTGGTACTGATTTCTCTGTGTCCTTGTTTCTTCCAAGGTTTCTGTGGGGACATGAAAATAATAACAGGCATCTTCACACTGCACGCTATACATGTCTGACGTTTATAAGTGTGTAATAACAGTGACATCACAGATTTAGAAACACTTACTCAGCACTTCTGGGATCTTGGCCTTGGCAAGAGACTGGCACTCCAGCAGGGTCTTTCTGGAAACCCCCTTGGCTTCTTTGCTGTCTTTAACCTTTACCTGGTGAATGGAAACTGGGCGTTTCATGGACTTGTTGATCCCCTTCATCAACCGGTTGATCCCCTTCCATTGATTTTTCGTCAGCCGGCATGCAGGTGGAGGGGTCTCCTCGGCATATTTAAGAAAGGCGCCGACAGTCAAGGTGTAGTGGTTGACTGTGGTGATTGCCTTTGTCTTTTGGAGGGATTGAACCCATCAAAAAAAAATACACACACAAACACACACACACACATCATACAATCAATTACTGCATTGTTAATGAACGCTGCTGAGACTAAAAAGAAAGAACTCTGCTTATCCCCTGATTTTGTCATGGTTAGTGAGGAAAAGGAGATTGGACTGGTAGGTCTCATCCTTCGCCATGTAGTTAAAAAATTGCGTCACCCTTTTGATCATTCTGGCACAATTTTCCCTTAGTTTATAATTTGGATTGGGTCCCTCACAGGTCTTCCTGAATCCCTCAAGAAACACACCTGTCAAAGAAACATAAGATTTTAGAAGAGAATTACAATCTCATGAGGCAACATGAATCAGTCAGGCTGTTTAAAAAAAAAACTTTCCAACACAAACACTTGCCACTATTTAAAGAAACAGTACTTACTAATGGAAGAGCCCGGGAAGATAAGTATGCTGCCAGATCCGGACGCTGTAGCCTCCTCTGTCTGGTCCCCTGAACCTGTCACTTGGTCCAGCTGCAGCTCCTCTTGGGCTGTGTCTGCCTCGGCCTGAAAGCTGAGGGACCTCTTTGCCGACCTCTCCTTTGCCGGAACCCTGAGAATCCCCATCTGCCTTTTCAGTAGCTGGTACCTCTTCCTCACTCTATGCAGCTCAGAGATGAGCTTCAGGTTGTCCTCTTTAATGGATATGATGGTCTCACTTCTCTTGGTCAGGGCCTCATCCCTCTCTTTCACAGCTTTCTGCAGCCTCAAAAGTGGTGCGTGGCAGTAATCATATGTGCAGCCCTCTTCCTCCTCTTCCTCTGCAAAAGTATCTAAAAAGTTATCCTCCTCTTCTTCTTGCCTCGCAGTCTCCACAATATCAAAATCGTTGGCCAATGGGATGGCAGGGATCGACGCCCTCAATGCCGCCAGCCTCTCCATCGTCAGACGTCTCTTCACCTCCTCTAAAGCCTGTCTCCTCTGTGCTCTGTTGAGCTCTGTATGGGAGTCCATATGCCGGTCCAGCCTGCTGACATGGGTGGAGCATCCTGTCACTGGACACCGCTCCTGCCTGATATTTACACTGCCCGACTGCTTTAAGGTTGTGGTTGGCTTCAGTCAGCACCTTAGGCAAGTACACAACGTTTGGAACACTGAGGACCCTGCCTTACACAGGAAGCGGCACAGGTCCTAATCCAGGCACTTGTCATCTCCCGTCTGGATTACTGCAACTCGCTGTTGGCTGGGCTCCCTGCCTGTGCCATTAAACCCCTACAACTCATCCAGAATGCCGCAGCCCGTCTGGTGTTCAACCTTCCCAAGTTCTCTCACGTCACCCCCCTCCTCCGCACACTCCACTGGCTTCCAGTTGAAGCTTGCATCCGTTACAAGACCATGGTGCTTGCCTATGGAGCAGTGAGGGGAACGGCACCTCCGTACCTTCAGGCTCTGATCAGTCCCTACACCCAGGCGAGGGCATTGCGTTCATCCACCTCTGGCCTGCTGGCTCCCCTTCCTCTGCGGAAGCATATTTCCCGCTCAGCCCAGTCAAAGCTGTTCGCTGCTCTGGCACCCCAATGGTGGAACAAGCTCCCTCACGACGCCAGGACAGCGGAGTCACTCACCACCTTCCGGAGACATTTGAAACCCCACCTCTTTAAGGAACACCTGGGATAGGATAAAGTAATCCTTCTACCCCCCCCCCCAAAAATTTTTTTTAAAAAAAAATAATAAATAAAAATAGAAAAAAAAATAGAAAAAAATAAATTATAAAAGTATAATTGTAAAGTGGTTATCCCACTAGCTATAGGGTGAATGCACCAATTTGTAGTCGCTCTGGATAAGAGCGTCTGCTAAATGACGTAAATGTGCCCTTGAGCAAGGCACTTAACCCTAATTGCTCCTGTAAGTCGCTCTGGATAAGAGCGTCTGCTAAATGACTAAAATGTAAAAATGTAAAATGAGAGGATTCTCCTTTGTAATTGGCAAAGTGGACATGAACGAAATAGAGAACGCACTGGAGCCATCTATATAATTGAAAAGTCAAATAACAGTAAATAAATACCTTTACACAATCACTTCAGTTATCCAGAAAGTACAATGCTCCAGGCTGCTTATTTGCTGCTTATAAACACATCTGAGACCACTCCCTCCACTCCTCCCATGCTGTCAGCCTCTAGTCAAATGCATTCTATTTCCAAAACACACTACTCCCACTAAAACACACATCCATGCTGTCAGGCTCTAGTCAAACACATTCTATTTCAAAAAAGCTCTTCTCCCACTAAAATACTCCTCCAACTCTTACTTTGCTGTCAGCTCCTAGTCAAACACATTCTGTTTCAAAAACAGTCACAATGATGTCGCCTCTAGTCAAATGCATTCTATTTCCAAAACACACTACTCCCACTAAAACACACATCCATGCTGTCAGGCATGGGTGACCGGACTGGTTACCAGGAGTGCACCTGGTGATCGACGGGTTACCAGGAGTGCACCTGGTGACCGGGCAGGGGGTGTAGGCCTGGAGGTATATAGTTCCATGGAGTAGGCTGTGCTCTCAAAAAAAACCTAATAAAAACCCAGTTTTCTGCTATTTACCGGTTCATGAGGGTTGCCTAATCACACATGTTATATTTTGGAAAGATGTGACCTTTTTAACCCTTCGAAACTGCCCCTATGACCCCAATTTAAGCACTTCCGGTTGTTACAGGAAGCTGTGACAACCAGAACACGCTTTTATAGATTCCGGAGTTTCAAGTCTTTACATGAAGAACTGACTGATTTACAGAGGGTTGAATGCAGTGTTTTTCACTGACTGCAGAGAGTGAAATCAAAACCACATTTAGGGTCAATTTAACCACTTCCGGTTGCTCCAGGAAGCTTAAAATCAACACAGGTAATTCTTATAGTGGCCTGATGGGTTGTTATTGAAGTCAGTTTGATATGGCAATCATAACCCACATAGGCATCAGGTTGAATTTAGGGCAGGAGGCAAACTTCCTATGGGGAGAGAGGTCAAGGTCAAATGTTAGAAGAAATACCGTTTTCACTGTTAAGGGTTAATTCCACATGGTCAAGGGTAGGCTTGCACAGATCGGGAGGACCTTAGTAACGTTCCTGTGGTTGAATTGTATTTCTAGCCTCAATGGTTCTGCCACTGTCACCCAAAAGCACCTCAAATTTAGGTCAGGCTTCATTATGGGCCTTGTCCTAAGACCTTTCTGGATGTCAATATCTTGCCCCAAAAACGTCAGAAACAGCTGCTATTCACATATGTTGCTCTTTATATGCCTCCCAACCATAATCTGGAAATATATTAAATTCAGACTACACATGGATACATACCATTACCTACCTAACCCTAACAAGCCATTCTCCATGCATTATTCTGTTGGTCAGGGAGGAGGTAGATTGAAAGGCTGGGAAGATCTTCTCCACAGAAGATCCTCCCAGCCTTTCAACTTTTTTCGAAATAGAGTAATGGTGGGAATCCCATTCATTCTGTATGGCAGTTTAACATGGGCACGGATTTGTCCCCTAGTTCCTCGCCAGTTTCTCGGATTGGCTAGAACTCCCAGACACGCAGGTACCAGACCCGTCGCTGTGCGAGGTTTGGTTCGGGAGCTAGGGCGGGAGACGCGACTCCCATTCATTCCCTATGAAAACTGAATGTTGAAAGGCTGGGAAAATCTTCTCCACAGAAGATCCTCCCAGCCGTTCAACTTTTTTTCAAATGCAATACATTCTGAGGACAGTACACAAAGGTGCTAGAGCTATTGTGAGGAGTGAAGTGATATTCTATACCATATGATAATGTTACCTAATTTCCATTTTATTGGGACTTGGCAACTATTAACAGTTGATCTGTGATCAATTAATCTGCTAATGCGTCAATTTACCCTGAATGGAATATTTTTATGTGGAAAAGGGTTGGGCCTATCTGATTGTACATATATTGACCAAGGAAACAGAATATAATCTAGTTCAGAACAGAATTTCCAACTGAGAGCAAAGGCCACAGTTGATTATTGCTTTTTCCTTATTCTGCAGAGATTTCTTTGAGATATTCCTACTACTTCCTTCCTTCTGGACCAAGATGGCATCTGCAACTGCTACTGGTGCAGGGTAAGTTCTCTTTTTAATTATTCAATGTATATTACTATTATTATCTTGCTGTTATTAATGTTAGTCGTAGCTCTGCTAGCACTAGTAATAATAGGTGTATAAGTATTGACATATTGCTTTTTATTGTGCAAAATGTTTTTGAAATCACTTGGCAACCCAGTTTTTATTTGTTTGTAAATCATGCTGTATATGTTTAATTAAGTAGTAACTTCATTACATGTAGTTATTGTGCATTTACTGTCTTACATAAACCAACATCTCTCTACACCTCAACAGAGTGTGCAGAAAGCTAAAACCAAAACAAGAGATTGACCAATAAGTCACCGCTGCCCGAGATTCCATGATAGAGCATCTTTGGCAAGGCAGGATCTTTGACTACAGCTCACTCAGCTGTATCGTTACACAACAAGACACACTCCGACTCCTGATCCAGAAGCTTGATCAAACTGGTCACATTGTTAAGAACAAGCCAGAAGACAAACAAACACCTGGGTAAACTATTTTTTAAACTGATAAAATAATATATGCAAGTTACATAATATTTTAACTCATTTTAACTGTTGTCCAATTATGTTTGATTGTAATATAATATAAATGTTTTTGATTATCTGTATGTTATTTCAGCCAAGTGGAAGTGGCTCATGTGTTGGCAACAACGGCAGATGTAGAATCAGACATCAACATGGAGGATGACCAGTCTGCCTTGTACCACCCGTAAGTAAATACACATATAAATAATCTCATAAAGAAGTACTACACATAAGTATTATAAGTGAACATGGATTTATTTTATTTATTCTAATCTGCATACCAAATGTTTTCCAGACCAGAGAACCAGTAATGGGACACCAAACTGAGAAAGGGGATGCAAAGCAGTGGTTTATACCAAAAGCACCCTCTGGATGCTGATCTGCTGGCTGGATTTGGCAAATATCTCAGCGACGACCACAACATTCCCAATTTCAAACAGGAGGTATGTACAGCAATTTTACTTTAGTTTAAATATTTTAAGGATAATTACTCAATTCTAAAGTAGTTGTTAACTATGTAACTAACATTATTTTCATTTTCATGTACAGGTACAGGTTGCAAATATGTCAAGGACCACCAAACCATCCCTGGATTTTGTCCATGACTTGGACAAAAGCAGGTCCTTTTTTACGAAGCTTGCAAACATTCGACAGAAGAAGCAAACCATTGCAAACTACATGAAGAATCTGAAGAGATTTCTTCGCTACAACTCTGCTGCAACGAACCTCATCCAGACAGACAGGGGCTTGTATGAGCAATTCAAGCATTTCCAAGAGTGCATGAATGACCTCCAGAAGTCCATGAGCAAGCAGGTGTCTCAGGAAATTACTGGGAAAAGGTGTATATTTAAAATTGGTCCTCACAGAAATGTTTTTTACATTTTAAGTGTGTATTGTTGTCATTCTTCAAATCATTAATGTATTATTGTTTTTCTGCAGGTACACACAGATGGTGACAGTTGAAAAGACACCAAAAGAATGTTTGGCAATCTTGGAGGTGGACAAGAAAGACTTTCTGGGTGTCATTTGGAAGGCCATGAGTGAAAATGAACAACTGCTCGTTCTGTACTACCTGGTGTCTCTACTCATGCTGAAACATCTCCAAAGGGCTGGAGTTGTAAAAAATATGACCGTAAGTTAACTAATGTCATATATTTGTTATAATGTTGATTCGTATTTGCTTATTTGGCATATGTTTTATTGATATGTCACAGTTCCAGTTGTAGCTGAACGAATGGCTCTCAAGGGAGGTGTGCAAGTTCCAAATGGTGAGAAATGGACTGTCATCGGTGTTAAGCAACACAAGACAGGGACACAGCGAGTGGCAACTGTTTCGTTAGATGAGGAGGAAGATGTAGTAAGTATATTTACCACAATCTGGTTATTGTGAATGTGATTGATTTAATACAAACCTGGTAAATATGTTTTCTTTTGTCTACATTTTCAGTGGTTGGATGTGTACTACCGACACGTTCGACCAGCTTTTCTTCAAAACTCTGATGACGTGGAAGAAGATGAGATTCTCAATTTCCACAACTGGAAAAGCCATCTACAACCCTTCCAAAGACCTACAAAGGTTTCATGCCAAGTAAGTAGAACACTGTTAAGAACAACGCTGTTTTTTATCATTACACAATACTTTTTTGACAGTACAGTTTTCTAAATCCAAAACTGTATCTGATGAAAGAACAAGAAAAAACAAACTCCCCAACATCACCAGCCAGGTAGCGACACAGGTTTTTGAGACAAATACCAAAGCCAACTTCACAGATGCAGAGAAGGCACTTGTTGCTGACTACTTGGCCCATACACCTGCTACAGCTGACAGGCACTAACGCTTGAAGACACCAGTAAATGCCTTCATGGGATTGAAGCTGATCTCCAAAGTTGCCATGTCCAGTGAATCTGAGTAAGTATTTACATGAATTATATAAATGACCCATTACGATGTCTTGTAAATGTTGTTACAAATGGCTAACATATTTTTGTTATTTTCCCTTTTTCAAGTAGTGAGACTGCATGCCCCTCCTGCGCAAGCACACGTTATGGAACAGGAGCATTGTCCAGCAGCCAAAGGTTGGATGAGGCACAGGCCTTGAACCTCTTCTATCAACACTTCCCTGTCACAGTTGATGGACAATCAATCAAGAAGAAGGACAGACTACTGATTGCAGGAAGGCATGAGAGATACTGTTATGACAAGTGGAGAAGCCAGCAAGAGAAAATGAGATGGGATTATGTGATCGGTAAAATGCAGCTAAAATACAGTAAACTGAATACAATTTGATCATATTAGGTATTATGAGAATGTACTTGATTTAGTCACATAACTACGACTGTAAGTAGTCCTGGATAAGGGCTTCTGCTATTGAATTAAATGAAATGAATAATAACACATTTATGTTTGTCTTTGCATTGTTACAGCTCACTTCCCCAGAAGAGAACCCACTGCCAGTCAAGTAGAGATATACATTGAATGGCAGAACTGGGAGAAGAACAAAGTGAAGGTGGAGGATGTCCTTCGTTACTGGCAACCTTCAAGCAACACTGACACAACAAAAGACAACAAGGCAATTATGAAGCTGGTGAAGTCCCAGAAGTGGAAAGGACTGTACATTGCCAGTGACCCTGTCATAGGAAGAAAGGTCATGACGACACAGACATTTGCTAAAGGGGAAGTCGTCTGTGACTACCACGGTCTCCCACTCTCAGGGAAGCAGGGGAAATAACTTTTGGCAGCAACAGAGGAAGACGTGGTCCTCTGTAGCTCAGCTGGTAGAGCACGGCGCTTGTAACGCCAAGGTAGTGGGTTCGATCCCCGGGACCACCCATACACAAAAAAAATTATGCACGCATGACTGTAAGTTGCTTTGGATAAAAGCGTCTGCTAAATGGCATATTATTATTATTATATTATAAGACGAGATGGGGTACCTTTTACATCTACAAGGATGCATCAGGGAAAACGTGCTACATAGATGCCAAGACTGTGCCCTGCCCTTGCCACCCAGAGATGGACACAATTGGACGGAGGATCAACCACTCCAGAAAGAGAAGCAACATAAAGGGTCAGCTTCAGCAACTTGAAGAGGATGGCAACATGTGGAACGTTATCCTTTTCATTGCCAACGAGACATTCCGGTGCAGGAAGAACTGTTATTTGACTATGGGGTGTAAAGAAAATATTTTGGTGGAGAAGGAGAAGATTTGGAATGGCTTGACAGCTAGGCCAGTCAGCATGAAATCAACAATAACTGATGGGACTCAAAAATATCCTTAAACCCCTTTTTAAAATGTAAATCTGTAATTTTGGTAATATATTTAGCCATGCATGTTCAACTTAAAATGTCAGTTTTGGGTATCCTGCACTTTAAAATAAACAACACATTTAAAGAAAACCTGCATATTGTTTTTATTTTCACCCACACTTTTGGCAGATGCCATCTTGCTAAAAAATTTCTCAGGTGTTGTTGCCTAGGCCATTGCTCTGATGTTTGAGGCTTCTCAAGCTGAGGAATTTCACACCTCTGTGTGGGGGTTTCACAAGCTATTAGGGTTAGAGAGGAAGTATTATTTTACATTTTACATTTTAATTATGTGCAGTAGTCAGAATTGCTCCTAAATAACAAGACATTCTCCCAAGAACTGTCTGATACAGTTGCCCCCCAGGAGACCAGCTACACCCTCATCCAGGTTGAACACCCAATATCCCCCACCACCCAGGAGACCAGCTACACCCGGATCCCCAACCTGGTTGAACCCCCGCTAACCCCCACCGCCCAGGAGACCAGCTACACCCAAACCGAACCAAAGAAGACTGGCATAAAGTCCTGTCACCCTGTCACCCTAAAAAAATTCCAACCCACTGAGCATGACACAGACAACCCCTTCCAACCACGACCAAGGAAGAGGAAATATGACTACATGCGAAAAGGTAAATCAGTATCCAACTTATATTGTTTTTTAATAAATCGTAATGCTGTCAATAACTTCAATTATATTTTTTCATAAATTAATACAACAATTCCAGTGATTGATTGATCCCCTACTTTTCGGGAGGCAGGCATATTATACATTCTTTGTCACACCCTGGCTCTGGGACTCTATATGTTGAGCCAGGGTGTGTTCATTCTATGTGTTCTGTTTCTATGTTGGGTGTTCTAGTTCGTCATTTTCTATGTTTGACTGAGTGACTCCCAATCAGAGGCAACGAGTGTCAGCTGTTTGCTGGTTGTCTCTGATTGGGAGTCATATTTAACTGTCTGTGTTTCACTTTGGGTTTGTGGGTTTTTGTTCCTTGTCGGTCTTTGTCACCGTGGACTTCACGAGTCGTTTCTTGTTTTGTTTAGTGTGCTTATTATCACTGACGGTAATAAAGTCAAGTATGTTTGTTCATCACGCTGCGCCTTGGTCTGTTCCTTACCTCGATCGTGACAGAAGAACCCACCATACAAGGACCAAGCAGCGTGTCCAGGAGCAGGCAGACTGGACATGGGAGGAAGCGCCGGGAAAGGAGATGGAGAGGTTGGCGATGGCCCAGGTGGGCAAATCGTGGTCCTGGGAGGACATGCTCGGGGGCAAAGGGCCATGGGCTAGGATTAAGGCCCTGGCGAGAGAGGAGCAGCGGCGTCAGCAGTGTCATCGTCGGACGGACGAGAGACAACCCCAAAAAAATTTTTGGGGGGGGCACACGGCATGGGCGGCTGGGCAGCAGGAGGCTGCCACAGGGCGATTTGGAGAGGAGGCCACCGGGTTTGGGGGGCCAGAAGGCAGGTTGGCGGAGCCTGGATGGAGAGCAGAGCCAACTCCCCGTACTCAGGCATGGCAGCATGAGACTGGTCAGGTTCCGGGGTATGCGGAGCTGCGTACTGTGCCACGAGTGGTCCGGCATAGTCCGGTACGTCCTGTGCGAGCACCCCGCACGTGTTGTGCGAAGGTGGGCATGCAGCCAGGACGGAGTGTGCCGGCTCAGCGCTCGTGGCCTCCAGTGCCTCTCCTCGGTCCCGGATATCCTGCGCCAGTGTCACGTGCTGTTATGCCAGTACGGGTACACAGCCCTGTACGTCCTGTGCTGATGCCTCACACAGAGTGTGTGAAGGTAGGCATTCAGCCAGGACGGGTTGTGGCAGCTCTTCACTCCAGGTCTCCTATCCGTCTCCACAGCCCGGTCCGGCCTGTCCCTGCTCCTCGCACCAAGCCTACGGTGTGCGTCGCCAGCCCGGTCCGGCCTGTCCCTGCTCCACGCACCAAGCCTACGGTGTGCGTCGCCAGCCCAGCCCGGCCTGTCCCTGCTCCACGCACCAAGCCTACGGGGTGCGTCGCCAGCCCAGTCCGGCCTGTCCCTGCTCCACGCACCAAGCCTACGGTGTGCGTCGCCAGCCCAGCCCGGCCTGTCCCTGCTCCACGCACCAAGCCTACGGGGTGCGTCGCCAGCCCAGTCCGGCCTGTTCCTGCCACTCGCACCAAGCCAGGGGTGCGAGTCGTCAGCCTGGTCCAGAACGTTCCTGCTACTCGCACCAAGCCAGGGGTGCGAGTCGTCAGCCTGGTCCAGCCCGTTCCTGCTACTCGCACCAAGCCAGGGATGCGAGTCGTCAGCCCTGGTAAGCCCGTTCCGGCTCCACGCACCAAGCCAGGGGTGCGCATCGTCAGCCCGGTCCGGCCCGTTGCTGCTCCACGCACCAAGCCAGGGGTGCGAGTCGTCAGCCCGGTCCGTTCCGGCCTCACGCACCAAGCCAGGGGTGCGCGTCGTCAGTCCGGCACAACCCGTGCCTGGGTCATCGGTGCCAAATCAGGTACCGCTCAACTGCTCCACAACGGAGCTGAAGCTAGCCGCTCCTGCTACGTCCAGGTCAGCTCCAGCCAGCGGGGCCAGACCGGACCAGGGGCGCTATGGGGGGTTTATTGGAGGGTGGTGGGCAAGGCCGGAGCCAGAACCGCCGCCGAGGAGGTATGCCCACCCAGCCCTCCCCTGTTTTGCTCTTATTGAGGCGCGGTCACAGTCCGCGCCTTTAGGGGGGGGTACTGTCACACCCTGGCTCTGGGACTCTATATGTTGAGCCAGGGTGTGTTCATTCTATGTGTTCTGTTTCTATGTTGGGTGTTCTAGTTCGTCATTTTCTATGTTTGACTGAGTGACTCCCAATCAGAGGCAAGGAGTGTCAGCTGTTTGCTGGTTGTCTCTGATTGGGAGTCATATTTAACTGTCTGTGTTTCACTTTGGGTTTGTGGGTTTTTGTTCCTTGTCGGTCTTTGTCACCGTGGACTTCACGAGTCGTTTCTTGTTTTGTTTAGTGTGCTTATTATCACTGACGGTAATAAAGTCAAGTATGTTTGTTCATCACGCTGCGCCTTGGTCTGTTCCTTACCTCGATCGTGACACTCTTAGAAAAAAGGGTTCCAAAAGGGTTCGTCAGCTGACCCCATAGTAGAACCCTTTTTGGTTCCAGGTAGAACTCTATTGGGTTCCATGTAGAACCCTTTGTCTTAAGGGTTCTACATCGAACCAAAAAGGGTTCTCCTATGGAGACAGCCAAATAACAATTTCTAAGAGCGTAGTCTAAGGCTAGGCATAGATGTAAAGTGAATAATGCAAATGACTGGCACACTAACTTCATTAATTTTCTGATAGGTGGTGATTTAATAAATGTATTTATTGTTTCAGTGCATCCGGGGCAAATTATTTTCCCTATTCTCGAAATTCTTGTCAATAGAACTTCAGAGGAGGTAAATCATCTGCAGTACATTGAAATTCCTGTGACTGTATTTACAGGCTAATCCTAGTGCAACACCAATTGTAGTTAACTTGCAGTACATAGACCTTGTAGTTAAAGTGGCAATATGTAACCAAATTCACATAGAAATGTGAGTTACAGATCTTTCATTCTACTTGAAAGCAAGTCTAAGAACCAGTAGATCTGTTAGACAGTGTGCGTTATTTCTGTGCTTCCCGTTCTTAAGTTTTGTTTTAGAGTCTTTTACTTTGGTTTTGTACAACAGCTTCAAACAGCTGACATTACCAACCATGACATTGTGGAGAGATTTCTGCATAGTGCAGCTTTTAAATAAAAAATACATTTATATTTCTTGCATAATAAAGGATCAGGAGCAGAAAGTGAGATGGAAGCCATGCTCTGGATGGTAGGTTTACTTCAACTAATCTCCTAGAAAGAATTGAGAATATACTGTACACTCAATACCATATGTATTTTGACAGTGAAGCTAAAATGTACAATTTTAATCTAAACTCCAGCATTTTGAATTTGAGATCAAATGTTTCATATGAGGCGATAGTACAGAAGGTCACCTTTTTACAATTTTGAAAAGAAAGTACTTTATGCATATAGTCCCACCCATTTGAAGAAGCCATAAGTATTTTGACAAATTCACTTACAGTGGGGGAAAAAAAGTATTTAGTCAGCCACCAATTGTGCAAGTTCTCCCACTTAAAAAGAAGAGAGAGGCCTGTAATTTTCATCATAGGTACACGTCAACTATGACAGACAAAATGAGGAAAAGAAATCCAGAAAATCACATTGTAGGATTTTTTATGAATTTATTTGCAAATTATGGTGGAAAATAAGTATTTGGTCAATAACAAAAGTTTCTCAATACTTTGTTATATACCCTTTGTTGGCAATGACACAGGTCAAACGTTTTCTCTAAGTCTTCACAAGGTTTTCACACACTGTTGCTGGTATTTTGGCCCATTCCTCCATGCAGTTCTCCTCTAGAGCAGTGATGTTTTGGGGCTGTCGCTGGGCAACACGGACTTTCAACTCCCTCCAAAGATTTTCTATGGGGTTGAGATCTGGAGACTGGCTAGGCCACTCCAGGACCTTGAAATGCTTCTTACGAAGCCACTCCTTCATTGCCCGGGCGGTGTGTTTGGGATCATTGTCATGCTGAAATACCCAGCCACGTTTCATCTTCAATGGCCTTGCTGATGGAAGGAGGTTTTCACTCAAAATCTCACGATACATGGCCCCATTCATTCTTTCCTTTACACGGATCAGTCGTCCTGGTCCCTTTGCAGAAAAACAGCCCCAAAGCATGATGTTTCCACCCCCATGCTTCACAGTAGGTATGGTGTTCTTTGGATGCAACTCAGCATTCTTTGTCCTCCAAACACGACGAGTTGAGTTTTTACCAAAAAGTTATATTTTGGTTTCATCTGACCATATGACATTCTCCCAATCCTCTTCTGGATCATCCAAATGCACTCTAGCAAACTTC